AAAGGGGTAGACAAACATACAAGTCATAAATGAACTGTACAATATCAAGTCCAAATCAACGTACAAATATTGCTAGAACGGGCATATAAACAAGTCATCAAAGGACAAAATTTCGTAAAGGGGTTGGAACGGTAAGTCATCAGGACAGGCCTCGTATCAATATACCAAGTCTCCAGGCGGGTCAGTATCTATTAAGCACAGGACAGGAAACATATTGTCCGGTTTCTGGACAGTATCATATCCCAACCTAACCAGACTCGCGTAAAATTCAAGCTAGCCCCGGCAGTATCCAAATAAAAAGGGAAAACATATCAATTATTTTAAAATCATAAATGGACATATGTATCAATATTAATATAAAAAATATAAGGTTTCAAGTCCTAGGCACGTATCATGTTCAAGTCTCGAACAGACAGTATCAATGTTCAATCAATCAACAACAGTATCATGTTCAAGTCACCAGGACAGACAGTATCAATTTCAGTAATCAGACAGGACAGTATCAAAGTTCAAGTCATCAGGACAGGGCAGTACAAGTTCAAGTTATGCTTTTTCTGTTGTTAATCTACTAAGGACAAGGACAGGAAGGCGGGAAACCACGGACCCTATATACCATAGAAAGTCTCTTAAATCTAAACAGACAAAAAGGGATGTCTCCTATTTAAACCCAGATCAAAGACTCAATGATATTTTTTAACGCAAGTTTTTTGAATTTACACAAGAGATGGGGGTTTGAAAGACACGAAGCAAAACATATAAACGTATTTACTAGAAAACGTTATGTGTTTGCTTACGGGCTTTTAAAAACCAATTGTCGGGTTTTTTTACCAAAGGGTTTTAACCACTTACAAAAGGTAAATGAACTGTACATATAAATCCAAATCTACTCTCGTAAAAAATTGCTGAAGTCATATAACAATGGTTATAAATGACAAATATTTGTAAAGGGGTGGACCGGTAAGCCAGCGGAAGGCCTCGGTCAGATGACCAAAAGCTCCAAAGGCGGGTCATCATCTGACTAAGACCCGCGTCAGGAAACATTTGTCCTGTTTCCTGACGAACCTTACCTAACCTAACCTAACCTAACCTAACCTAACCTACTCTCGTAAAACTCTCCTGGAGCCTAGTTCCCAGGCATTTCCAAAATGAAAAGAAAATATTTATTTATTTTCAAAGCTTATAATATTTGGCTTACATATTATAAGATATTAATTACAAAAAAGGCCTTTAGCATGCCTAGGCATTTCGGGCATTTTTCGTACCGACATGTTCTTGAGCTCCACAGTATATGTGGCGCACAATAACCTAGCCGCTTCAGTGGTAAAATCTCTAATGTTATGTCATCCACTATGTTAAACTAACATACAGTGGCATCTACACTATTATCTACCATTATGTTAACATCTCAATAAGATACACCAACCACATACTGTATCGTATTAGTATACAGTAAACTCGAAACACAAAATATTGATTTCACAGTAGACATCTTTCGTGACGTTAATTTATAAAATACGTTACTGTCCCGTGGTTCAGTTGGCAACACAGTCGCCACACACACTGAGTGTCCGAGGTTTAAGTGCTGCAATATACAATTTCTCACATTTTATTTTTTTATGTCTTTATTTATTGAACGATCTTGATTAAAAAAATACACAGTCTCCTCTGACATGCCTAGATTCTGTGGTAAAAATTTCAGTGAAATCGTACAGAGGAAAGTGACATAAATATTTATCTACCAAATCTGCCCTTAATCTGTCCCCACCACGGATGGAAACGTTGGGCGTGTTGAACCCTTAAACTGTCCAAACACATCTATGTTCACATGTGTAGTGATTTAAAAGTAGATCTACGTTTTTTTTACATATTTTCAAATATAACAAAAAAAAAGTACATCAAACTTTTTTTACACGTTTTCAAATGGAAAAAAAAAATCTACATATGTATTTACACTTTCAAATGTTGAAAAAACGTAGATCTACGTTTGGACCGTTTAAGGCTTAATTACACCTGCTGTCCCTGTTCACCTAGAAGTAAGTAGGTACCTGGGTGTTAGTCGCCTTACACCTGCTGCCCCTGTTCATCTAGAAGTAGGTACCTGGGTGTTAGTCGCCTTACACCTGCTGTCCCTGTTCATCTAGAAGTAGGTACCTGGGTGTTAGTCGCCTTACACCTGCTGTCCCTGTTCATCTAGAAGTAAGTAGGTACCTGGGTGTTAGTCGCCTTACACTTGCTGCCCCTGTTCACCTAGCAGTAAGTAGGTACCTGGGTGTTAGTCACCTTGCACCTGCTGCCCCTGTTCACCTAGCAGTAAGTAGGTACCTGGGTGTTAGTCGCCTTACACCTGCTGTCCCTGTTCATCTAGCAGTAAGTAGGTACCTGGGTGTTAGTCGCCTTACACCTGCTGTCCCTGTTCATCTAGCAGTAAGTAGGTACCTGGGTGTTAGTCGCCTTACACTTGCTGCCCCTGTTCACCTAGCAGTAAGTAGGTACCTGGGTGTTAGTCGCCTTACACCTTCTGTCCCTGTTCATCTAGAAGTAAGTAGGTACCTGGGTGTTAGTCGCCTTACACCTGCTGTCCCTGTTCATCTAGAAGTAAGTAGGTACCTGGGTGTTAGTCGCCTTACACTTGCTGCCCCTGTTCACCTAGCAGTAAGTAGGTACCTGGGTGTTAGTCACCTTGCACCTGCTGCCCCTGTTCACCTAGCAGTAAGTAGGTACCTGGGTGTTAGTCACCTTGCACCTGCTGCCCCTGTTCACCTAGCAGTAAGTAGGTACCTGGGTGTTAGTCGCCTTACACCTGCTGTCCCTGTTCATCTAGCAGTAAGTAGATACTTGGGTGTTAGTCACCTTGCACCTGCTGCCCCTGTTCACCTAGCAGTAAGTAGGTACGTGGGTATTAGTCACCTTGCACCTGCTGTCCCTGTTCACCTAGCAGTAAGTAGGTACCTTGGTGTTAGTCACCTTGCACCTGCTGCCCTTGTTCACCTAGCAGTAAGTAGGTACCTGTGTGTTAGTCGCCTTACACCTGCTGTCCCTGTTCATCTAGCAGTAAGTAGGTACCTGGGTGTTAGTCACCTTGCACCTGCTGCCCCTGTTCACCTAGCAGTAAGTAGGTACCTGTGTGTTAGTCGCCTTACACCTGCTGTCCCTGTTCATCTAGCAGTAAGTAGGTACCTGGGTGTGTTAAGTGACTGGTATGGGTGGCATCCTGGGGGACAAGATTGAAGGTCCACAGTGGAAATCAGACAGACAGACCAAGATGACACACTGACTTCAGTGGGTTATCCTGGATGGCTAACCCTCCCCCGGGGTTATCTTGGGTGGCTAACCTTCCTCCGGGGTTATCCCGGGTGCCTAACACCTCCCAGGTTACCATAGGTGAGTAATCCTCCCCAGGGTATATCCTGTGTGGCTAATCCTCCCCGGGTTATCCTGGGTGGATAACCCCCCGGGATAACCAGGGTGGCTAACCCTCCCCCGGGTTATCCTGGGTGGCTAACCATCCCCCGGGTTATCCTGGGTGGCTAACCCTCCCCCGTGTTATCCTGGGTAGCTAACCCTCCCCTGGGTTATCCTGGGTGGCTAACCCTCCCCTGGGTTATCCTGGGTGGCTAACCCTCCCCTGGGTTATCCTGGGTGGCTAACCCTTCCCCGGGTTATCCTGGTGCATTATATTATATTATATTATATATATATTATATATATATATATATATATATATATTATAATATATATATAATATATATATATATGCAATAAGATCACAGTAAACAGGCGATTTCAGAATATGCAAAACAACCACTTTGAAAGAATAGAGAAATTCCAAGCGCTTGATAATGTGAGTAGTCACGAAAGCGCTTGGAATTTCTCTATTCTTTCAGAGTGGTTGTTTTGCATATATATATATATATATAAATATATATTATATATATATATATATATATATATATATATATATATATATATATATAATATATATATAATATAGGGAGGCACCACCTCTATAACTGGACTTGGGACCTTCATCCTCAGAGAAAACAATGAATGTATCTCAGGGAAAACACAAGGTTCTCCCCGGAGCTGGTTGAATATTTTCTTCTCCTACCATCCCCTACATTCTATAATGTATGTGATCCTTATTAACAGGCAGAATACATTGACGGAAAACACAAACATGAATACATTGGTACAATATATCAAAGATTGTGAATCTCCTCCAGCTTCTCCGAAGCCGGACGTGAGCCCAATATGTAGCATGCATTTCCCCTCTGGATGGCCATGCTGAGGCGCTGGAACATGAAAGTGGCTGCCCTTGGGTTCCTGGTGGTGTCGATGAGTCTGGAACCCAATTCTTTAAGGAAATGTGTGGTATTTCTTCCCCCATGATCCCAAGGTCTCTGATCCCACTGGGACAAATTGATACTGTTGGCTTATGTCCCTGTACTTGTTGATCTTGTACTCCTCCCTGTTGCCCCACACTGTGATGGATGTAGGTGTTAGCCAGCGTCGACACACAGGTATAGTTCCATGCTTCCAAGGATAGATGGTGATTCCGTCGGGGCAGATTGCTGGGTTCTGGGTATGTTGGCTGCTAGTGATCGGGGCTTCCTCTCGGCTGGGCATCCAGCTGTCGTTGATTTCACTGTGTGTTGCATGCCAGCCCTTAGTTTTGTTACAGTAAAGACCATGTGAACCATATTGGTTGGCTTGCGCATCGCCGCAAGTACGAGCATTCCGTGTGAATTCGGGCAGCGAGGCGGAGAACCACTGCTATACGGAGGGTCTTAGGGTTGAGGTGTGCCAAAATTGCCGAAATGGGAACTGTTTAAAGGAAATCCCCAGAGTGAGGCACACTCACAGCTTGGAGACGGGGAGTCTACCTGTCTGATGATATATATATATATATATATATATATATATATATATATATATATATATATATATATATATATATAAATAATTTTTAAGTGAGCGTCATATATTTCTTGAGTACTTACCGTAGTCAGCATCACAAACGTGTTGTTGAGGATGTTTGCGGAGGCAGCTACAAGGCGCAGCAGGTGGCACCACCATCACCACCAACACCACCAGTGATACACACCACAACACTCCCATCCTGCAACACACATACAGTAGGTTACACACACCTACAGTGGAGATAATATCTATTTCTACATGTACAAGGTATACAGACCATAGTTAACATCAATGACATACTACGTATATAGAAAGCCCCTTGTTACGCAGATCCTTTCGGGTAAATTAGGTCAGTTTTGTCCCAGGATGCGACCCACACCAGTCAACTAACACCCAGGTACCCATTATTACTGATGGGTGAACATGTATAACCGGTGTTTACCTGGAGTTTACCTGGAGAGAGTTCCAGGGGTCAACGCCCCCCGCGGCCCGGTCTGTGACCAGGCCTCATGGTGGATCAGAGCCTGATCAACCAGGCTGTTACTGCTGGCGTAAGAAAACACGCCCAATGTTTCCACTCCTTTGTCGAGAATCGAACCCTCATCGTGAGAAGCGAGATTATTATTATAATCAAGGGGGAAGCGCTAAACCCGGAGGATTATACAGCGCCTGGGGGGGGATGTGGAAGGCATTCAGGGTTAATTCGGGGAACTGGAGCACAGATCCAATTCCCTAAATCAAGAGCCCCTCACCAACATCAAGGAACCTTCCTTGAGGGGTGAGAAGCGAGAGCTTTTGCCACCAGGCCACGAGCCACCGTAACTGGCTCAGAGAGGCTGATGAATTACAACACTTGTGGAACACTTTGGTATCTCTGTTGTGGAAATGTTCCGCAATACAGTGGCTTCCTCAGTCATATACAGAGAAGAATGGTTGAAGATCAGAAGGAGTTTGAGGGACTGATTACCTCAAGCTCCTACTAATCTTCAACCATTCTTCTCTGTAGTGCACTGAAGAAGCCACTGGATGGCAAAACGTTTGCACAATAAAGATACCGAAGTGTTGCACAAGTGTCTAACTCATCACACCTACACTAACTCTGCCCACACTCAAAATTATCATTTTCTTTACTGAAAATTGTTACGTGAACCTAGGTATTGGGGTCATACAGGAGGTGTATGATTACAGGTGATGTATGACTCTCAGATTCTGTATGACCACAGGGTCATAAAATATCGGGGGACTGGGAGGCCATCAGGACCTCGCTTATACAGCAGGTTAGGTTCTGGGCTACTGTTGTAATGCAAAAATCGCTGTAAAGTGAAATATAGCTTTTTTAACTTTCAACTGCATAAAAAAAACCTGATATGTTTACACTATCATATATTAAGTGAGCAATAACGCTAGGGCCTAAAAAATTCATATACCGTACACACATTACTTACTTCAAAATATTTTCGTCATTAGCTCATAGTGTGAATATATTTATTGTAGGATGTCTGAATGTTAGGTAAGACACATATGCAACAGTTAGGTATCTTTATTATGAAACGTTTCGCCTACACAGTAGGCTTCTTCAGTCAAGTACAGAAAAGTTGATAGAAGCAGAAGATACTTGAAGACGATGTAATCAGTATCTTCTGCTTCTATCAACTTTTCTGTACTTGACTGAAGAAGCCTACTGTGTAGGCGAAACGTTTCATAATAAAGATACCTAACTGTTGCATATGTGTCTTACCTAACAACCTGTCGGTATTTTATACAATTTTAATGTTCAGGATGTCTGAATAAATGAATAATGGGTATAAATTAAAACCGCTGCATTAGCGAAACATCGTATAAGGCAGCGCTGTAAAGCAGGGCCTGTCTGTACTGAAGACGACACACCAGTATCATAACTGCGGCTGTAGCCGGAAAGAGGTAAGTAAACAGTTATTAAAATATCAGTCTTGTTACCTACCTGGAGGAAACGCAAATAACCTGCACATAGGAGACACTCATGGCGACTTTTGGGTCCCACTTGGATCATTAACTAGTCTCCCACTAAGACACGAAGGTAAGGGAGCCGGTATATATACGAGAGGAGGGTAGGGACGGGGCAGGGAGAGGAAGTCCAACCGAAAAGTCGTAATAAGTTTGTTTCTCCTAGTGTCGGTTATGTTATTACTGTTCTTGCTGTTGAACAGCGGTTTAGTGCGGATGGAGGTAGCGTAGGTAGCAATGATACGGCCGTGGACTAGTTTCGCTTTAATTGGATAGGAGTACACAACGGGCAATCTGAGGGAATGACCGCTAGCCAGTCCGTGGAGGGAGAGCACTTGTGCCTATCAAGTCGGTCGGCCTAGGAGTGAGGGCGAATGGGCCTAGCCTCCCACTGACCTGGGTGAGCCTACAGAGGGCAGCACTTAAATGCCGCGAAATATGAACTAGTCAGAACAGACGGCTTAGGCTGTCTGTTCTGACAGTACAGGTTGTCTACAGTTATTTGTGTACTGTTCTAGTCACCTTATTTTGCCTTTGTGTTTTTATCTAGTGGGAGCTCCGGAGGTCACCGCCCCCCACGCTACCCATTTTTATAGT